ATAGCAGCCTCGGTCATCAGTGGACTACAGGTAAAAGAATAAATGTCAAGCGCTTCTTGTTCTGCATAGTAACAATGCCATCAGTGAGATATATCTTCTGGCCAACCATCTTAACCTAAAGTCGCCTAAGGCTACATTACCCAGCTACTTTTTGACGTTGTTAAGTGGCTGGATGCAATCGAGTGCCAGTCCTACGAAATTCATGATCGATTAGGCGGCTTCCATTAGCCGGCTACGAAACATGCCCAGTTTGTAGATAATACATGTACTAGAGTAGACTATAATTCTCGGAGCATAAAGCATTGGAAGCAAGATATTATTATCTATTTTGAAACGAATTCAAGACTACTATCTTAGCATGAAACCGGATTTGTGCATCCAGTGAGCCACTGAGCCACTTTCTGGGCGTAACAGTTTGCGTTTAACGATCCACCTACGTTAGGCGAGTACTCTCCTTGGTTGTACCACTCAGACGCAACGTAAAAGACCTGGGCGTCCTGGGCGCCCTGAGCCTCAGCTGCGTTGATGAGAAAGCTAAGACCGACTCCATTATCGGTACCCACAGCGCCCTCTCGAATCATGTTGGTGATTGTGTCTATAGCCATATGGTTAGTCCAAGACAAAGAGTGGAAACTAAGAGTTGTTCGTGGAAGTTCTACTTACCTGCTGGACATGGGTTGACCACACCACAGGTCTCACCGTACTCGTTGTACACGCCGTTGTATTCATTGCAGTTGCAAGTGTAGTATCCATCAAAATCTTGCAACAGGCCAGGGTTCCAGATACCGGTCGCTGGACCACCGGTAGTGGGGACTCGGACACAGCCGGAAGACTCCGTCAAGATTTCGGCCAGAATGAAGCGATGGTCGATGTTAAACTGGTTGGCAATGTCGTTGATGCCGTTCTCTAGGTCGTTCATCTCGTCGTCAGAGAGATTGGGGACGCCGTACTGGCTACACGAGTTCTGAATGCTGTTGTAGTTGACTTGCCAGATGTAGTTGAACGAGACCCATTGGCTGATGGACGGCCAGCCAGCACCGGCGCTGCCGTCGCCGTAGTAGGCCCTGCATCCAAGACCGCCGTTGGCATTCTCATTGTCGTTGATTCCGTACACTGCGGCAGTTCCTGTAACGGCTGTATCGGTGGCTAAAGAAGCAAGGACTTTGAGAGTCCGTGTGCCAGGAGGAAGGGGAAGACTGCGATTGACACCACCAGCGGCAGCAAGAGCCGCGCCGGCTAGGAGCAGTCCGATTTTGGCCACCATTTTATGTACTTGGAATGAATATATACAAGTTGACTTTGATAAAATGCTGATGAGTATATCATGGAGGTAACAACACAAAGGGGGCCAGCGGGATATTTATATGCGGCTTCGAACAGCCTTCATTTTCATCTCTATCTCCAATGTTGGGAGCCAATCTATTCCATTCCTACAGCGCGGAACTTCGGCACTCAAAGATGGAGATTCAGAGTATCTCATATCGAGTGTAGAGATGAAGTTTCGAATCACTAATACTAACAATGTGCCGACAACACGGAACTTCGGCACTACAAGAGGGGTATATACAGTCTTATTGATGTATTGTAAAGACCTAAAGCCTCACTACACCTCCACAGGGCGCCCGTTCGTGCTGCAAATGAATGGAAATTGTATGGTGCTCTATAAACGAGGTCAGAAATCATGAATATAAAAGAGGTGCCGATAACCGGTGTGTGCAAACTACTAGTAGTCTTTGTGGAGCAGAAAACAATTAAATCCGCATGAAAAGAATCCGAGTTACCCTTTGCAGCGTTGTTACGCAATCCTACAAGCGTTACAGTAACTGAAACAAGAAGGTGAGGGCATAAGAGCTGCCGTATCGATACAGTGGTGGTTCAGGCTTACCAAGTCTGATTAGGCGTCGTGTAATATTATGAGGCGTAAAAGGATGCGGCTACTGTTGTTCTCCACTCTATATATTCAACCCAAAAAGGCAGTTGTAAATCGTGGAAAATTTATATTCCTTCCCACCCCAGGGCACTCGTATGACTCCTTCACGTTCTCCAACTGCAGAATGCCACCGCATGAATGAAATGACCCCATATAGTAGTCCTGCGTGTAAGTTTGATGGACCCTTTCTCACCGTCGACCCATTTGGTCACACACCTTCATGATGCTCATTGTCGTGACATGTCATCGACTTCCGCCGTTCTTCTGCTTCCGTCACGCTCTGCAGGTACTCCCAACGCTCACGGATTTCTTGGTTTGCAGGATCACCGGCGCCGTCATAATTCCACGGCGCATCCATCGGAGGGGGTGTGAACTGGTCCGGCAGCCCGGACCCTGCGGGGAAGCACCGGCGCCCCGGCAGCCACTTCTTAACACACCTACGCCGGCGATCCGCGGGGTTCTCCCCGAAAACGTGGGACGACCTAATACAGCTTGTGATCGGCGATGGAACGCTGTTAGAGCAGTCTACATGTAGCTGACCATCGCCTGGCACGGTCCTTATTAATTACTGGTAGTCAGAGGGTTAAGATCACATCTGGTGCCTTGCTTGCTTTCCATCTCACCTTCAAGCCCCTGCCATTCATCACCACATGGACTCAAAGCTGCGACAGCCCGGGATTTTCGGCCAGCTTTGCTGGAATACATACACTGTCATCGCGCTGGGGTTCGCCGAACAGCCAGGTGCAAGTCGCGATGAGGTCCTGGCGACTCTCGACTCCAGCGCGCTCCGCCTGCTGTCAGCTTATCCATTTCTTGCCAGACAACCTTGGGGATTAAACGAGGCTAAATTTCGACCAATTCTGGTATATATGAGATTGTCCCTTATCCACCACACTAGAACAAGTCACCTGTGAAGCGCAAAGATTACACTGAGCTTTGTCCATCTTATAAGAAGATACTAAAACCCGACGCGCTATTCGCAATGTCAGATGGCGACGTATTAGTCTAATAAAAGGCATAGGCTACCAGTATAAAGCTGGAACTGAACTCCTCGTCTTTCTTATGTAGGCAAACTTCATCTGAGACTGATTACTTCTCTGCTTCGCCTTGATGCATAACGCTCTAGGTATAAATAGACAAGGGATCGTATTAAAGATGTTTGCTGCCGGACAGAGGAGAGGAGTTTGATTCCGCCCTAGTGGAGGCAGGTAACCGGGACGCCGATACCATTGTGCCACTACTGCGTCCGGGAGAGACTGCTGCTTTACACAAAAGTATGCACCGGCCATCGACGCTCAACATCTCTGGGCCCCAGGATAGTCGTCCTAGACCGGCCATTTGGCCTTACTGGCGCTTCCCAGCCGATCAACTCGCCGAGCTTAAGAAAGAAGCGTGCCGAGTAAAAGCCAAGCATCGTGAGATGGTCCTGGTCTCAGTACGGAGTATATGCACTCATTCATTTCTCCTTTAAAGAGCAGGGGAAATGACCATAAGAGAGATTAAGACTGAGCGTATAGATATATCTCTTTCGACAAGTAATTTTCCCTGGTGCTGGTAAGGGTACCGGGCTGGCATCTAATTACAAAGTATGCGGCTATGCTGAGCGATATGCGAGGTGCGATATCCGAAGTGCGATGTGCGATGTGCGAGGCCCAGCATGATGGTAGCAATATACAAACCTTGAGTATCTATGTATGTATATATACTCAAGGAGCATCTACTTTTTGTAAATTTGGTCAATAGACTGTCGATTCGCAACCTCTCCCAACTTCAAACTGCCTGCAACTACACGTAGTTGGGGCCTTCAACTCCCAGTGCACTCTCGCAATGGCTTTCGGTCCTTGGAGCTACAACCCCAGCCCTGCAGCAGCCCTGCTATTTGCTATTCTCTTCGGCATTGCTACCATTTACCACATCTTCATCGTCTTTCGCCGCCACGTGTGGCATTTCTTGCCACTTGTTGTTGGCGGTGGTTGTATGTTCCAGTTGCCTTCCCAAGGCTCTCTACCCCGAAAACATCACAGTTTAACCTGATTCCCATTGTCAATAGTCGAAAGCGTTGGTTATGTTGTCCGCTACTTGGCAAGCAAAGATGAAACAAACGTGGCTCTCTTCGTCATACAAACGCTCCTCATCCTCGTCGCTCCAGCCCTCTTTGCAGCCTCCATCTATATGGTACTCGGACGGTTAATCATTGCAGTACGCGCCGAAGCATACACTCCAATTCGACCGACGGGGCTCACCAAGATATTTGTGGGAGGCGATGTCTTGTCCTTTGTCATCCAGCTTGCGGGCTCCGGCTTATTGACAAACAACTTCAGCCTGGGAAAAGGGGTTATCCTCGTTGGCCTGGTCGCGCAACTCATCTCTTTCGGGCTCTTTGTGGTCACAGCAATTGTATTCCAGCGCCGACTTGCCAGGAATCCAACCCCGGAGAGCCACGCACTGGACAGCCGTAACCGAATGCAGTGGAAAAGCATCATGTTTCTGCTCTATTCCAGCAGCGCCTTGATATTTGTTCGATCTGTTTTCCGTCTTATCGAGTTCACTGGTAGTAATAACTCGGCAATAATGACGTCTGAAGCGTATCTTTACGTCTGCGGCTCAACTTTGATGTTCATCGTTCTGGCGATCTTAAGCTACTTCCATCCATCCGAGTACGTGCGAAGAGATAAGGGAATGGCGCATCTGCAAGGCGAGGAGCTGCTGTAATCTAGATTATAGTCTTCTGATTTGGCAAGGCGACGTCGTGACGAGCGTGATCAAACATGATGGTTTAGCCAAGAAATATGGATAGAAAAAGTAATCAGTTTTTTCCTTCTTTCGAAATTTGGACATGTTGGATTTTCGGAGTTGGTGATGGGTTTTGATCAACCAAGGCGGGTCCTTTTACATTAGTATTAGATAGTTTTCTAAGCACTTTCCGCGGCTAGATAATTAGACAATATATTACATGGTTTATAGAAGTCCCTTAGCCCCGCAGATATTAACCCTGCGACTTGTTGGTGAGAAGCCGAACAATGGAAACTTTGTCATCCAGTTGCATTGCCATCTTTGGGATGGACATGTATTACCGCCATTCCACCCCGACACTTTCCTCTATTATCCCCATGTCGTGACTGGCCACATCCTGATAAATCCATGTCGCTGGAAGAAGGTTAAGAAGAACAAGGTAGTAAGCCAGGATGATCAAAGCACGATGGTTTCCCCGTTGTACCATTTCGAGAAATTCGCTCGGCACAACATCAAAAGCCCATGCCTTGATCTTCTTCTCCAGCCATAATTGCTCGTGGGGTTCTCCTAAGATGGCAATGAGCGTCCCAAGGCTCGCCGTGACCTCGTAGAGAGTGCCTCGTTGCCCCCAATTGCAATCGCTTTCCTCCTTTGGAAGTATGTCTTGGATCTGAGGCAGTACTGCCGCAGGCAGCGAGATATCGCTAAACGATCCATATAGAGAGCCTGTGGAGCGGCTGCCTGCCTGGCTGGATGAGAGTCCATACAGTCTTCCGTTGGACGGTAAATTCCTCTGGCCTACCGCCAGGGCCAGCCAGTTGGTGACCCATATGCCGGAATGCTTGGTCACACGGTCTATCGCGAAAGAGACCACCGCTAATAAGTGCGATGCAGCTCTGACAGCACTGATGTTTTGCGTCGATATGCTTGCAACGGCCTGCCGAAAACTGCGTAGGGCCTGGTCGCGGTATAGATAGATAGGCAGACTCTCTCGGGACACGGGGTCCGTATAAGCGAGGTGAATCATGGCGACAAGAAGGACTGTGTCCATGAGAAAGTCGTGATCCAGGGCGAGTTGGGGTATCTCCCTCAACATTGCGTCTGAAACCCTTTCATTGCGCCAGACGGCTTCAAATGACTGTACTGTGAAGACGCTGTACTGGTGCATCAGACGAAGATCCAGCAAGTGCTTGGCGCTGTAGTGAGGACCCTCTGATAGAGTCTGAAGGAGTGGCTGCGTGGATGGTTGCGGCGTATTACTTTCATCTCTGCTTGAGGAGACAGTACCAGTATCTTCTCTCATGGATATATAAACACAATCGTCTCCGCGGCGTCGGCAACCAGTACATTGTGGCTTTCTTTCATCACACTGGCATTCGGTCAACTCCTGTCTCTTACGGATGGAAACCAGCGGCGGTAAGTATTTGCCTTGACGCGACGCGATTTACACTTCTTACAGCCAGTCTTGGGCTTTTGGTGGAAGCGGATACTGCCGGACATGGTTCCTTTTTAAAAACAAAAAGGCATTACAATGATGGCGGTGACAATGGATGAAATTGATATAGCACTTTGGCCTTTGCTGAATAGGTGACTAAGCCGGATTAGCCCAGCTACGCTGTATAAACGAGGGTTATTTCGAGTTCTATTTTAAATGAAAGAGATATGATCAGTTAAACTTTGAGAAGCAAGGCTGCGATAGCTGGGTTGAATGCTTTATTGATTTGCTCTCGTACTGTAGTCCTTTATCATGGCAAGGCAAGCTGGGTTTCGGCTTTTGCATCTGGTGTCACTTAGAATGACTTTGAAGTTCGCTAAGTTGAATCATTAAATGTTAACGAAATGCGCATAAAGATACCCTGTCAGATGGCAATAAGAAATAAAGAAAAAAGGCAAACGTATACAATTTATTTTATTAGCAGTGAATAATGTCAAAAGTTATCTGTCCATTTGCTTCAACTCATTGTTTCTCAGTCCCGGCATCACTCTGTTTATCCCACCCTATTTTCTCTCATCTTGCAAAGCCAGTATTCCCACCCTGACCAAACTCTTCCAGTAACTTCACCTTCAAAATGCATACAGCAAGCAAGAGCATTTGGCTGATAATTATTATGAAATCTGCCATTTTCATATGTCTTGCAGCCCTGGAAGAAGAATGTTGCGATGTTCAGAAGGAAACTCTTCAATGTTTTACACGATACGCTTCTAGGAGCACAATTGACAAAGGCTCAGTTGTGATACCATTTGCGTTGTGTACTATATTTTCTCTTTTGCTTGTGTCTGACTGCCTGTTGCCTTGATCATTCGCAGCGTAGAGCCCCTCTTACTAGATGGGTCACGACACCTTGAAAACGGCCCTTGAGTTGACTAGATACGGGGCAATCAAGCAAATGGAATGACTGTTATCCATGATTTAGATTCATATGCAAGTATTCTAAGTTATATCTATGTTCATGTAACAAATAAAACAGCGAGCTAGAGTCAAGGATGTAGAAAGGGCCTAACAGAGACAAGGAGCGTGAATTGCTACAACTGGTATCGGGTGACCAGTCAGAAATAGACCAAAAATCTTTTACAGCTCTTCTCCCAGAGATTAGAAAGCTCGAGACTTCCACAAGCTGTTTCCGAATGGTTCGTCCTCCAAATTAGATCTCAGAGGGAGCAGCGTGCGAGTCTCCTTTTCGTAGCGCCAACTACATCGATGTTGACATATATCGAATAAGACAGGCCGTTTTCATTTACTCTCACAGCTTTGAGAAGTACTGAAAACAAAGAGAATGAACTTCGTGGAAACTATCTTTCTTCTTAATGACATTACTTGACCGAGTCCGCCCCCAGGTAAAGCGTCGCTTGTATCTTTGGATTCCCTAAAACGGACCAGATGAAGCCGAATATGCACGGTAAATAATCTAACGATGTTGTTTGAACCTATTAAGACGCTCAAACTAAATCCGGAATTGACTTCACTCTCTTTGGCATGTAATATTCTCTATGTGTGCGTTGCTTGGGTTCTCAACGCTGGGTAAGTAAGCACAATCAGTGTTTCCATCATTTATCCCCCCTCGAAGCACGGCAGCCTACAATTATTTATATTAATTCCTCTTTTTAATCATTTCATCAAGACAATGTAGGAAAATACCGCTCACCCCTCTCCTCTTCGTTTCAGCTTCCGCCAGATTTTTCAATTACTAAACAGTCCCCTCTTCTCCCCATTTTATGTCTAGTAGTGATAAGTAACCCTACACAACTGAACACAAAACTTCAGTAACGGGTACTGAATCTAATTCATGCCATGCAATTCAATTTATCCGAAAACTAGGTTGAATCTGAAGTTGAAGGTTATTGTGTATTGTTATGATAAAGTTGAAGATCCAACCCATCTGTTTTAGCCAAGCATCTCAAGTTTACTAAACAACCACACCATACTAGTTTCTGCGTCATAATTGATTCAAAATACTACCTCAATCGCACATTTACTCGGAGAATCATTCGGCATGTCCCACGGATGAGCCTCCAACATCAGCCTCCAAACTCCAACATCAGCCTCCAAACTCCAACTTCAGCCTCCAAACTCCAACTTCAGCCTCCAACCTCCCACCTCCAAATGCACTCTCACGGGCTGGAATTTCCGAACCGTGACCCACGAATGTCAGATTTGTACGGGTAACCATCCGGTTCCGGCGGCTAATGCGGCATACCTCTTAGCACCACTAGCAATTCAGCGGAACAAGGGTGGAATCGGGACACAGAATAGAAATGGCAAAGGATTCTTGACCCTGTCTCTCTCTTGCCTCTTTATTTCAGGGGTGCGGCCGGACTACAAAGCGATTGGAGAGAAATACGCTCAGAAGAGCAATAAGCGAGAAGAAGTGGGAATCCCACGCCCACAAGTCCATCCGAAAAGGAAATTCATGGCGACGAAAACCACCTTGTTATGCAAGCCGGGACGGAGATGAGCGAATGGAACGATGCTTTCGGGCACTATTTCGATGAGCCCAAGCAGGGTGTTGAGCTAAAACTGTGGGCTCAGCACTGAATAAAGTGGTGGCGCCGCTCCGACTTCCATTATGTCAGACCGGCAGTCGCTGGAGCATCCCAGTAATTGCAGTTGCCTAATGGGAAGAGCCCTCTCCAATTCTTTATTTCTTGTTGACATCCCACCGGCACGGTAGTGTCCCATTTTTTCTCTTGTCAGGGGTCGGCCGCCGTTCCACTCCTGGTCATACCTTCGTTGCGTGTGTTGAACGAACTACCTTGTAACTGACGGGCCACTACTTGACTCCATTTACTTATGTAACTGTAATAGAACTCGTATACTGGAGCCCGTACAACTGGAGGCTCAACAATGCGGAATTCCGCACCATAGGTACCTAACGATAGGCGATTGCGTTTGTGCCCTTGCTCAAAGACAACTAACGCCGCGGCGATAAGGCAAGACAAGGACAACAGTCGGATCGCGGTAGAAAGACGCGCGTCTGGTGATCGGTTCCCGGAAATACAATACACGTATCCATCTTATAACCTACTTCATCTTATAACCTATTTGGGAGAGTTGAAGAGTTTGGACGGCAAAGTGGCAAGGGTGGGCTTAACTAACTACTTGTGTCGCTAGAGATGAAACCCTTTTAGTTCACTTGCAGATCCGCCAAAGGGGCGAATGTACTTTCTACCGAGCACCCATCTACTTGCAAACACTGGATAATAAACGTAGTTGCCATTTACATAGTTCTAATATTAAGGGCGTGAGCTTGGGTAGAATGGGTGATGAAAGCACTGTCTCGATCATCATAGGTTTTCACTCCTTGCAACTCGTGGCGTAGTTGTTAAGTCTATTTGTAAATGCCTTCAACTGCTGCAAGTTGAATCGACAAGTACAGGAACCAAGTCCTATCAATGACGATAGGTACTACTGGACCCTTCATACAGGCATGTGCAAAAATAAACTACATGACAGAGCATTTTGAACTAGGGGATCGTGGCACTTTCGGCATGATTTCGAGGATAGCTGCATCTTGTACTCGATAGTCTCGTCAGAAAGCAAATTAGAGTTGCGGCACGCTAGGCATCAGCAATACCTATCACGCCGATACTACTGAATTCGGAATCTAACGTCTTCTTTGGCGGGTTGTGCATCTCCACGGACCTCACTGCTCTTTCACCCCCCTACGGCCTCCACAACGAGAGGCTCAACATCACTCCGATATAGGTAGTACGTATCTGCACATCAATGGTAGGGGCAAGGTGTTTTTGCCAGAAAGAGAGTGGCGGTGGCCACGTCTTGGCAGAAAATCAAATGGCATCCCCCCTGAGGCACGGGGGTGGAAGCAAAACACCGACTGCTGACTTGGAGGGATGAACAAACGAAGCCATCACTATTCGGAATCACGGAGCATAACAATTGCCCTGGATCCGAAAGATGATGAGGCCACTAAATGATTCAATGTCCATCTATGTAGTAAGCAACGGGGCTCATCGCCAAGAGCTCTCCCTGCAGCCGTTGCAGATGTATAGGCTCCTCTCCTAGAGTGTCCTAAGTGTTTCGCCACATGAACCCGAGCTTATACTACCACCATGGTTACATCTGAGCAAATGTCACTGCAGTAAGGGGGAAAACAGCCGATGTTAGAAGCCGGCTTCATCTTGCACCACCGTGGCGATCAACGTGGCCACAAGCTTCAGTTTCACGCTAATGGCTCATGCTGCCGGCCAGAAAGAGCTGGACTAGATGGCCCTTGAGTATCATGTCAGACATGAAGACGAGCGTCACGATGATGATTCGTGGTGAGACGTACTGTAGAATATTATCATCACCCGGCTGTTCTTCTACGGCTGTATGACTTGATATCATAGCTATCAAACTTCAGTATACTACCAAAAGCTTCTACATGGTAGTAGACCAGACGTCGACATCACATACTCGATGCAGATCGAAACTCGCATTAACATTGTCAAGCTTGAAACTCCGTCGGATGCTTCCAGACTCAAAAGCAGGCTGAGAGGCCCCACATCACACCGATCACTGTGACCATCTTGAAAGAGAACATCGTCAGAAGCACCCAATATGCAGAGCCTCAGGAGTAACTGTGTAGGGATCTACCCATGTACCGACTTGTGGACAATGCTGTCGACTCCACTTGATCATCTCCATTGAAGTTCGGCGATGTTGTAAGGTTTTTTTTTTTGTGACAAGAAATGGGGCACAGGAGCAAACCTCCACTTGAGCCGCAAACTCTCCATCTGCCTCATCACAGATCTCCCTCTTTGCACAAGGGCTCACGATCGAGGCAGACTTTGTGCACAGTCATT